ATGGGGAGGGGAAACAGTACCACATTTCCTTATCTTACTCCTTTTTTTTTTTTTTTTTTTTTTTTTTTTTTCAGCTCAGAAGAAAACCACTTTATCGGTTACACACAATGCCCACCTAGGTTCTAACACCGTGGACAATGAACAGCAGTGAACTGCTATGGACCACGGTTCCACACAGGATGGGCCCCTGATTGGCAGCAGCCTCTCGTCACAGAGGTTTCATTGCTGTGGCCACTCAGATTTGCCACAGAACGAGTGCCTGTGTTCTGGGAAGAGGACTGGGCCGAGGAGGACACAGTGAGATGGGGGACAGGCAGGGTCCCTGGTGGATGATTAACATGGAGCGCATTAATTATAAGAACACAAGGAGGGTGGTGGGGCTGGTTTGTTGAGTCCGATAATGTGTCAGGTGCAGCGCATAAACTTTTAAAGCTCCACAGTGATCCACGTGGCAGCTACAAGTGGTTCTGCTTTAAACAAAATAAAACAAAGCCCACGGTTCAGAGAGGCAGGTAACTCTGTTCAAGCCACAGTGCTTGAGCAAAGAGGATCAGAGAGCTTGGCTCCTGCTGGAGGTCTCCTGGGTGTGGAAGCTGCTACATCTTTGGGGCCCACTCTTGCTGTCTTCTTGGTTTAAAGCATTTCTGAGAAGGAACAAAGCTAAGGCAATTCTACTGGTAAGGGGCAGAGCTGTGACTAGGACTCAGGAAAAACTGAGGCCAGAAAGAAGACAATGAAGTGCTTAACTGGTAAAATCCCCTGTCCAATTGCCTCTGCCCCATGAACTGAATTGCTATGAAAAGAGAGCTACTTAGCACCTGGGACAGCTGAAGTGCCTCAAAGTAATTCTGGATTGCTGGTTTTGGGGAGTGGTGTGTGTGTGTGTGTGTGTGTGTGTGTGTGTGTGTGTGTGTGTGCGCGCGCGCGCGCGCACGCTCTCGTAGGTCGGAGATGTTGGGCACTGACCTAAGTCATTCTCCACTTTATTTTTTGAGACACAGTCTCTCACTGAACTCAGAGATCACTGATTCAGGCATACTGCCAGGCCAGGGAGTTCCACGAATTCTCCTGTCTGTATCTTCAGTAAAAGGGCTTAATTTTAGAATCTCATTGGCAGGATATAAAGACTATCTCTTCTCTGTCCTTACCTCTTCATTGTACTTTGTCATCTTTTTTTTTTCCCTGAGACAACACTGGCCCCCACCTGAAAATTTCCTTGACCTCATTCTGTGTCAGGTGAGGACCTTGCAGGATCGTCTGTACCAGGTGCACTGCTGTAGCCTTTGTCTTAACAAAGGCTTCCTTACATACATGACAGTCCCCACCCAGAAGCCTGCCATGGCTCCTGGCACCTACAGAGTAAAGACTAACCCTAACCTCCTCCACAGTGAGTGAAATCTGACGCCATCATCCCGTACAACAGAATTTCTGTGCACCCCCTTCTCCACTTCCCAGGCTGCAGACAGCCTTCAGGACCCTCACCGCCACCCTATCTGAGAATTCAGACACTCCAGCTGTTATTCACTCCTTCTGCCTTGTAAGCCGAACCCCATCATGTTCACGCCAGCAATGTGCCTGAGTGGAAAACACTTGATCACTTCTCCCTGGCACGTTTGGGTCACCAGCCATCACAGGTTCTTTTTGAGGCCTGGAGACAGTGCATGCTCCTTCTTAAACCTCAGGCCCAAGACCCACTGGGTAGGAGTGGCAGAACAAAAAGACACAGCATCCGATCCCCACCCCCCAAAAAAATGCCCCAGCTGGATAAGTCACGTGGCCTTCAGAATTTCTGTTGCTAGCAGCTGAATCGATGCTATCCTGTGCAACCTCGCCCAGGCATCGTTCTTTCTAGTTCACGGGTCAGCTTCAAGGCCATCCCCTCCAGGAGATTCCCCATGAGCCCCTCAGGGCAGCATAATCCACCCCCACACACACAATGTGTCCACAATGGTTGCTTTCCTCAATTACAGCACTTACTTAATTCTGCTTGATTGGGCCTAATGAGCACTCCCACTGTCTGTTCAAACTCCTAGAAGGTAGGGGGTCTTTATCCCATCAGCATCTCCATTAGCATGGGGTAAAGCTTTGTGCCGAGCCTCGGGGCTCCGGCCCCCCAGCATCTCCACACTGCTGCACTGCACCACAGCAGCGGGGGGCACCCAGGCTGTGGGTGCTGACACTAGACTCAGGAGCTGTTTGGTCTAGCTCCAGTGAGTTGACCTCTCTGGGCCCGCGCTTCTTCGTCTCTAGAGAATGAGAGCCTTTCTGTCTCCCAGTTGTCATGAAGACAAAAGAGTCTACTCGTAAGTCCTTAGGATAGTGTCTGGCATATAAAAGTAATGACTGCGGGTTCTTATTAGTATCTGGAACGTTTTAATTGTCGAATGAAGAAATACATCAACACCGAGTCTCCAAATAAATAAATGAACAAGTGAAATCCAGATGAATTCCTGAGTGGAGACCCAGGGCGGTAGCTCTTGCTCTCAGTCCTGCCTGCACTTTCCCCTTTGGTTTGTCATTGTAACGACCTCCTTGCACCAGAGATGGACGCTATGAAGTCAGCCTGGCCTCCGACACAGACTCTGCACTGCATCCCATGGGTTGGCCAAGCTTACCTCACCTCCACGAGCCTCAGTTTCCTCCACGAGAATCTGAAGACAATAACAATCATTGGCTTGTGGGGAAACGGGTGAGGTTTGCAGGGCAAACTGTGCTAGCCACCTAGCAGGCCCAGATACTCTAGCAACACTTAAGATCACCAACAGGATTTTCACCCAGTGTTGTTAAAGGCACAGAGTCCTTGTGACCACCTTGGGACGTGGTGGTCACTGGGCAAGTCAAGATCTTCTGTTTTCAACTTGGGAACCCAATGTCTTCAGTGTATGCGACTTCTCTCTCTGTCTCTCTCAGTCTCAGTGATGAGTCACTGATTTATCCTAAAGCTTTGACCTTCTGAATTTTCCCCAGAAGTACGTTATCTGCTAAGGTGAATCCTCAGTTGACATCAAGCACTGTTAGAAAGTAAGGTGCAAGTTCATAGAGCAGTGGTAGAGCAGAATATCTAAACAGCGACAATATTTCCATAGCACAACAGGCCTGATTATTGTCATGGACGTATTTTAACCCTCTTCTTAGATTCCCCCAGGCCTTAAGAGAACAGGTTGTAAACAGCTTTATGTGACTTTCGCTTTAAACTTAAACCTTTATGTTGGCCCCATTAGTCTATTTTTACCATCAAACAGGGCATTTAACAAGATATTTATTCCACCTGGCCATCATCCAAATGCTTTTTGACATTACTGCCCTGGGCCTGAACTGCTTAAACTGGAGGGCCTCAGAAACAAACGAAAAAAAAAAAAAAAATCACCTTCTGACTTAAGTCTCCCGAGTGCTCAGACTCTCACCCTCTTCACTTCTGTGGCATTAATTTCTGCTCTACTCTACAGAGCCAGCATGCACAGAGTGTTTTAAGAGGCTTGTTGAGGGAAGTCCAAACCACTTCGGGGTCACAGGGAGGAATTTCTATCTATCTCCCAAGTCCTGCTTCAAGGAGCACGGCTGGCCTCAGATCTGAGGAGCTGCTCACTTCCAGAAAGAGAGACCTTCAGAGAGCAAGCAGCAAATGGAGAACTCTGGGCCCTAAAGGACAGTGATGCCTGGGGCCTCAGCTGAGCAGTGACTCTGAAGAGGGAGGGGTGTTCCCTCCTCCTCCCCGCCCCCAACAAAACAGGCCACCCTGAACAGTGCAACTCAGAGACCCCACTTGCTTTGAAGCCAATCAATCAGTGGAAGCCGGGGCAAATCACGACTCGGCTCCCGCGACAGGTCTCCCCCCACCCACCCACCGGGTCTGATAAGCCCTCCTCATCCTCTTCCACCACCTCCGGAGCTCTGCCCAGCCAGGAGGCCAAAGAGACGTTCCTATGATGCTCCCGCTTTCCAACTTTCCGAGCTTCTCGGTCTTCGCAGCCTCCCGCAAAGCTGCTAGGGAAAGGGCAAGTTTGCAAAGCCCAGGAAACCAAGTCCTGGGGGAAGCCACAAAGACGCTCCAACGCCAGCAATGATTAACCTCTTGTGGGGCGTACTGGAAAAAAAAAAAAAAAAAAAAAACCCGCCACGGCCACTCGGGCGGGAGACCCGGGCTCGGCCGGGGGACTGCAGGGACCCCCGGGGCGGCGCGCCCCCCGCGTCCCCGGCCCCGCGCACCTGAGCGGGGCGTGGGCACAGCGCCGCGCTCAGGCCCTGCCCGCAGGTCGCCCGCCCGCGCCGCGCGCCCGCCCGCAGCCACCGGGAGCGACGGGAGGAGAGGCAGCCTCAACACGGCGTCATGCTTCCTGCCACCACATTACGGCGAATCGTCACCGGGAGAGGAGAGCCGAGGGGAGAGCGGGGGAGGGAGGGGAACAGCCACACGCGAGCCCCCCCTCCCCAGGCTGCCCCCCAAAAAAGCGCCGAGACGGGGCCGCGTCCCGGTGGAGTCCCCGCGGGACCTGCCCGGCTCGCACAAAGCGCCGCAGTTTGGCCAACAAGGCAGGGAGCCGGCCACTAAATAAATAAATAAAAAACAGAGTCGGGTCTACGTAACGCCCTGTCGAAAGCGGACGCCATATTTTTTTGTGGCTTATGTCGACATAGGGAAACGTAGACATGTTTTTCCTCCTCCTCCTCCTCCTCGGCCTGGCTTCCATTTATCCAAACTTGTAATCAAAACTATTTCATAAAAAAAAAAAAAAATCTCCCGTCTCTCCCCCTCCCCTTCCCCGTCACCCCGCGTCTTCCTCTACCCCGCAATAAAAATAATAAAATAAAAATAAAAAGCCTGCACACCCCCTCTCCCGCGCAGCCCCATCCCCGAACCCAGCCAAGTCCCATTAACAACGCGTCCTCGGGAGCCGCGGCGGCGGTGGGAAAGTTGGGCTGGAGTGGCGGGCGCCCGGCGGGTCGGGCTCGGGGCTGGCGCTGCCCGCTCGGGTGCTCCGCGCCGGGGCGAAGTTTCTTACCTGTGCCGGGGCTGGGAACGCGGGGACCCGGGCTGGGAACGCGGAGACCGGGCGCGAGCGTTCCAAAATGGAACTCCGCTGGCTCCCCCCACCCACTCCCCACTCCCCACCCGGCGCCCGGCTCGGGCTCCGTGGGAAAGAGGTGGCGGTGGTGGGGGAAAGCCAGCCTGGCAGACAGACAGACGGACAGACTGAAGACCCCCCGTGCGGAGGACGGCTGGCAGAAAAATTTTTCAAAGCAGGAAAGAAAAAAAAAGAAAGAAAGAAAGAAAAAAAAGGAAAAAGAAAGAGAAAAAGAAAAAAAAAGAAAAGAAAAAAAAAAAGAAA